GTGATATGCGTTATTGTGCATACTATCTTTGTGACTTATGTTGTTATGTTATTCAGTCTAAATGTTGTTTATATGTGCTTACGTTGAGTTATATATATATATATATATATATATATATATATATATATATATATATATTATGTGATGCTTTGTGATTATGTTATGCTTTGCTGAGTTAGGACCGGAGGGTCCACCCGAGTTGTGGGACCGAAGGGTCTCCACTGAGACACATTGATCGGAGTGTCTCATTTGAGGTGTACGTGGTATTTTGGAGAACTCACTAAGATTCGTGCTTACCGTGTTATGTGTTATGTGTTTCAGGTTTTTCTCATGATCACGAAAAGACACTAACTTGATTGTACACACCGGCGAAAGAGTTATGTTTTGAGGATCCTGGATTTTTAATCAAACAATTATGGAGTTGTGATTTTAAATTAAATAAATGAAATTTTGTGGGATGTGTTATGAGAATTATGAAATTTTAAATGAAAATTTATTTGAAAATTTACGGTGTTACAGTGTTGAAGGCCATATGTGTATGCATTTTATGTATATTGTTGCATATGGTATTTTGGGGAAATAACTAAGCTTTACGCTTACAGTTGTGGATTAAACACTTTTTAATTACTTCAGGTGATCGTGGGGAGGCAAAGATGTGACTGTACACACACATCAGCAGTATTAAAATTTGAGATTCCATGATACTTTTCTTTAAAACACTGATTTTTGGATTATGGTTTATGAACAAATGATTTATATTTGAATAGATATTTATGAAATGGGTGTTTATTCTAGTTTTAAAATGAAAATTTTATTCTGAAAATTGGAATGTTACAATTTGGTATCAGAGCCCTACCTTACAAGATTTGGATAAACACTCATATGAATCCAAACTAAAACTAGGATCTGAGAATTTTCACAAATGTCTTCAAAAGGAATTTTAAGGAAATATTTGGGTTACAACCATGAACTCGGATCCTCATCATGTTCTTGTCTGGTTTTTGTCCTGGGATTGTGTACATGGATCTTTGACTCAACTTTAGTTTTAACAGGAAGATGTAATTTTTACAGTTATCCAAAGCTCTAAAATAAAAGTGGTTCCCAAAATATCCATATTTATTGTATATATTTTTTGATTGTGGACTGTTAGAAATCCATGCTAGTGGATAGGCTAAGGATCTCTATAGGAATTGAATGTTAGAAAGACCTAATAACTATGATGCCTTCTAGCCTAGGGAGTTTGTTGTTATGTGATACTTGAATTTTATATTTATATTGTTAGTTGCTAAGTATATGATTTATAATTGTGCATGGTTAGGATTGTATAGCCTTAGAATGCTTGATTTAGTCTTATTTAATGTTGTTTATTTGGTTATGGACTTAGATAAAAATCATTTATTTGATCATCTATTTGACCTGATATAATGCACGCCTTGCATACACGAGGAAACCAATGATGATACCAAAGACTCTAAGTAGTGCGGGAGTGTGGTCGCATAGACTCCTAGGATGAGAATCTAGGAAGTGTAGCTTGTGGCTCTTCTAAGCATATACGTGTGTTAGTACACCTACTAGTTCTCGAGTGTAGTGACTTAGGAACCTTGAGATAATTCTTGGGATGAGTACATATAGTTGTGTAAGGTAGTATGGGCCCGTACTACCAGAAGCACAGGATCCGTATAAGGATTATGAAAAGTTGAATGGTTACTAGGGAACTGACTGATAGCAGATAGTATGGTATATAATTAGGTTTAGTTGTAGTTGTCTTTATTGGTCTTTTGGATATGGTTTCTCTTGATGAGGATGAATCTGGTGCTTGTTCAGGGTTATGTATCCAAGGCATATTAGGTTTGAATGACGTAGGCCAATACGAGATGGTTGGTTATGAGGTTTTGAGGACCTTCTTCGTAGTAGTTCCAATTTGATTCATTGGACTCAAGACGAAGAAATTGTGATGATCGATTTGGGGAATACAGTTGTTGGAAAGATGGTCTGTTGATCATTTGGGATGTCATTTTCTACAACGAAGTTATATTCTTCCAGCCTCCCATGTTTGAAGGAGAAAGGATTGGATGTGTGTCATTCGATGGATAAAATAAAGGTATGGCATCCACCGCATCGGTTCCCTCAAGGGTTAAAGTCATGTTCACTTTAAATCATCTTCGTCTTTTAGTATAAGGATGATTGAGATTAATTATTCTTTGGTTCGGTGGTCAGAGTGTAGATCATGTTGCGAGTTGAGCCTTCAAACCAGTTTTGAGGAGATTGGGTGTTTCCATTGTAGATTGAGAAATTGATTCCAAAATCCGGACTGGAAGTCCGGAGGAGGAAGAGAGAGCTAGTGCACATTCAGGCACCATCAGCATATAAGGGAATTCTATAGCTATGTTAGGTTTGGCAAAGCTATTTTTTGAGCAATTTCTAGGGATTCTTGAAGTTTCAAAGGAAGATGAGGTTGTGGATTTTTTTTCTCGAAATGCAGTTTTTTATTGCACGAGGTTTAGTTCTCAGGGTGCCTCATAGATCATCAAGAGAAAGATGATTCATGGAAATGAAAGTGGATTATTCATCTACAAAGTTTTTAACAAAATTCATTTAGTATTTTTGATATTTAAGTCTTTAATAGTTAATACCTTTTAGTTTCTGAGAACATTAGCTATCAAACTCTAGTATCCAGGTTACAAAACAAACAAATGGTTATATATCCTTTATCACATTCATTTGAATCCAACTAGGTTGATATCAAGTATTAATTACATTCTATTATATACTTCCTAGATTTATGGGATCATTAGTAACAAAATTTCACAGATATGTTTGATCCCATCTATGCCTCGAAATTCTATTGCTTAGGTATCACATATCACAAAATATTTCCGATCATATCAACCGATTTAAAAAAACTTGTATAAACGGCCTATAACCTGGTTATAGAAATCGCAAATACGCCCCGCCATCAAAAGTTAACACTAGGTAGTTAGGTGATATTTATCCCACTATTGTACCAAGAGACGTGCATGTGCTTTCAAAATAGATTGCATGGATTTGAGTTTTTTAAGGGGTCGTTTATGTTTTATAATTCAAACTTTAAAAACATATATTATATCATGGTTATTGAATGTATCAAATAAACCATGATATACCTTTTAATCTAAAATCACGTTTTAACACTTTTATTTAAAATCACATTTTAACAATGTTCTTTTATAAAGTCCAAATTTTATAAAAATGATACGATCAAATTTTAAATGTAATAACTAGTATTAAGTTTTACTATTTGTGAGTTATAGAACATTTATAAACCTTTTAGTAAAACTTCATTTTATAAAATAAGGTTTAGAGTTTGATAAGTTTAAAAATATCAAGTTTAAACTTATATAATTTTATTCCTAAAATTTGCCATTTACTACTATTAGCCAGTTTTAAATAATAAAACTTTTTGTTTTTTTCTTATAAAGATTTGTTATCATCTTATGTTAAATGAGAAATTTCATTAAAATTAAACACCGTGTATTGTTATTTATGTTGAAATTTTTTTATTCAGTAACAATAACACAATATATTCACAAATTTAAACAACACATGAATGCAAAACATAGGTGAGTAAACCAACCATCTAGTGACATTTTTGTGAGTGGCCACAAAAATAACACCTCCTTCATATAGGACATAAAGGGATCAAAAAAAACTTAAACATGTTTATATTATGTGCTCTCACTTTCTTTGACAACTGTAAGCTCCAAAACTACAATTTGTTATAAAAGTTAAGAAAACTTTAGAAAATCATGGGTGAACACTTATCCTCCAAAATGGTTTTCATCTTTATCTTTTTAGATTTTTATAAAATTAAACGATTTTTAAAACTAATCTATTACTTAAAAAAAATAAAAAATAAAAATAAAAAGTAATCTATTTAATTCTCACGTACCATATGAATAAATCAATATTAGAAACATTTCATTAAATCAACACGTATTACAACAAAAGAGGTTCACTGCATAAACATATGCGCGCGTGTATATATATATATATATATATATATATATATATATATATATATATATATATATATATATATATATATATATATATATATATATATATATGTTAAAAAAATATAAATATAAATATCAAAATATTTGAGAACTTTGAATTTAAATATATATATATATATATATATATATATATATATATATATATATATATAATAATAATAATAATAATAATAATGAATTATTATAATGAAAATATTTTTTATTTTTTTAATTTAAATAGATAAAAGAATTACAAGAGCTTTAATTTTAAGAATTTTAAAATTAAAAGATAAATTCGTTAATGAAATTGATATCTATTTATGATTATATTTATTGCAATTTAATATTAAAATATTATATAAAATTTAATAGAATAGAAAAACTCATAAAATGAAATGTGGAAAAAGAATTAATTCAAAATAACTACAAAATCATATTTGACAAATTGAATAAAAATGTAACAAGTTGCAAAATAATTTTTCATTTATTAAAGAATATCATTGTTAAAAAAAAATCTAATATAGAAAAATCACAAAGATAATAATAACAAGGAATATAATTGTATGGACAATATGTCATTAACCGTGTGTTCATTCCCTCCCTTGTCTGAAAAATAATATAAATATCTCTATAAGTTAAACTTTTAGTTTGTCTCTTCCAAGGGGATTCATAGTCCAAAATAAAAGCATAGAGATGAGTCAAATAATGCAATGAATCCCACCTTAAATTGACAATGACCATAAAAACAAAAGAGATCATTTATGTTGACGTGTAAGAAAAGTGACAACCACACCTTTGTACATTGAAGGTGGCCTTGAATCCGATATCGACTATTTTTCAAATTTTCAAATGTGGTGGTCGCTTTTGTCTCCTTCAAACTTATATCACCCATACGTACTCTTCATATTCATGCATGAATCACGATTCCTCTTCCCATAATAATTATTAAAATATTATTATTAGTAATATAACCATTTCCAAACATGTCTTTCTTTTTTTATTCAACACACCTTCCAAACCGACGATTCAATCTACATTTTAAGTAACCTTTACAGCGACCCTTCAACAAGTTGCACACGTTTTTCATGGTGTATTGTATTATATAAATATATATATTATACTAGATACTAAATATGCCTGCAATTTAAACAAATACAAAACAAGAAGAAGAAGAAAAAAAAAAAAAAGCCCTCGCTATTCTTGGTTAGATTTGTTAGTTCAACAGTTTGACTTTTGACTAAAGTCAATGGACTTTGTTGGTATGGACCATCACCCTCCTGAGTTCATCAGAAATCCCCTGTAAAACCACCGGTTTTTGAATAACTCCATTAATTCCCATCTGCAAGCATCTTTCCCACACATCTGCATCACCACTGGCTGTTAAAGCCACAATCAATGGCCAATTCCGGCTGCGAGACTTCCGGATTCTTGCTGCCACCTCATATCCATCAACATCGGACATATGAAGATCCAAAAGTACGATTTGGTACGATGATACGGGTTGGTTTAGTGCCATGATGCAGTCGGAACCACTGGCGACGGTTGACACAATGCAGCCGAGTTTTTCGAGTTGTTTACGGGTGACGGCTCGGTTCATGTCGTCTTCGTCTGCTAGCAGGACTTGAAGGTTCCGGAATATAGAGTTGGATAGCGGGTTGTGGTCTGATGATTCCCCGGTTTCGGAGATTCCGATTACAATCGATGGTCGGAGTTGGAATCGGAGAATGAGTGACATTGCTTGATCGAATCCGACCGGATTTGGAACTACCCAAATCTTTCCTTGCATCATCTGCTTAAAACAATTCAACAAAGAAAAAACATATCATGTAACATTATTCTTGATCGTTGTGGAAAAGACACAAATGTCCTCCTCATCCTTATCCTCCAAAATAGCTCGTCTAATACAATCCCGTTAAAAAAGATAGAATCAGACGAATTTTCTAGGGCTATTTTCAATGATAAGGGTATTCATATCTTTTGTAAACAAATCATGATAAGGCTATTTTCACTCGTAGTCCAATGCACCTAAAACTAGATGAGAGTTTGGTATAGACATTTGTTAATGGGTTAAAAATTGCATTTTTGTATCCCATCATGTTCGAAATTTTGGGGTTTACGAAAAATTGAAAGTTTCTCTCTTAAGTTTTAGTCTCAGTCCAATACACGCAAAATGCAGTACAACATATATGTTATAAACAAAATAGGAACACAAAAGAAAAGAAAAGAACAAACCTCGACAAGCTTTCGGCACATTCCAAAGCTCAAACTTTGCTCAATTCCACCACTACGAATTCTCTCATCAGCAAACGAGCGTTCCAATTTCGTATCATGATCGTTGATCCCGATTTCAAACTTCACACTGACATAACCATCACCCGAATTCGATCTCCAACTCGCCCACCGTTGATCATTCCTCCCATAACTTCCACTCTCTCTCACAATTCTCAACACCATTCCCCCTCCACCATTCCCCCGATTCAAAAGATTCCCAACCATATGCAAAATCACCTGAAAAACCCGCCTCTCATCTCCCATGACATTATCCGGTAAAGATTTATCAACATCCATTACAAATTCATACCCTTTATAAACACACAAACACTTTGCAAGATGTGCAACTTCTTTTATCAAAGAATGAAGCCCAAAGGACCTCATTTCTAATGGGAATCTTTCTTTCGATGAATCATCCATGACATCATCGATCAACATCGAAAGTACATTGCTAGTTTTCACCATTGAATCGATAAGAACCTTTTGTTGGTTCATTAGATTATCATCTTGAATAAGGGAAAGCAAACCCACGATTGAATGCATAGGTTTTCTCAAACTTTTGCTCATTACAGTTTGGAACAAGTTCCTTGCTTGACTAGCTCTCATGGCGTCATGTTTAGCTTGTTGTAAAGCTCGATTTTGTTCTGCTAATTTGTCTCTCATGAGCTGAGATTCTTCAAGCACCGCCGCATGGGAAAGAGCCACCGCCACCTGGTCTGCCACTACTTTGACTATCTCGAGCTCCGGACCAGTCCAAGATCGAATTTGACCTCCGGGAAGAACCAAAACGAGAATCGCGTAACATGCTTGAATCATTTCAGGGGTCCCACCTTTGAAATCGGAAACCCTAAGCATCGGCATACGAATTGCTGCCACCGCTCCAGGTGGTTCTGACCCTCCACTACTTAGGGTTCCGAGCTCTGATTCATGGTCTAAAAGCTTCACCACTTCGCTCTGTTTAATTTCTTGAACGTCGGGATTTTGAATCGGAATAATCGTCGACGATTGCCCCCCTTTCAGCTGATGGGTTAGATTCATCACCGTTTTCGTATTATCCGGCATCCAAATCGCGCAATTCTGTAAATCCAAAATTTCCGATAATTTATCGAGAGTGGTGTAGAGAATCGTGTGTCGATCGAGTGATTTTCGGATTTCTTGTGTCAGCATACGAACATGCCACCCGGCTTCTTTTTGCTTCTTGATCATACCCATTTCTACACCCAGATCCCATGTTTTTTTCCTCAACATAAACTCTCGAACTTTCACTTTCAGAAGCAAAGGGATGAGAGTGACTAAAGTTATGGCGGTTGCAAAGGAAACCAAAGCTGTAAGGAACTTGAAAATGGTGAGAGCAAGCATGAGCTGAAACGGGTGTGGTTCGTAGGTCCACCCGTTTAACAAATGGGTCATTCCACAGAGAACGATGAAGGCGATGAATTGAAAGAGAACCCATTTGAAGGGGACGTTTGAACAGCTTACGAAGTATAGAAGCTCGATTGGAATCGAAAAATAAGCAACTGCGATTAAGAAATCGCTTACTCTTTGTGTTTCCATGATGTTTCTGTACCCGAAGAACCCTTCCACTTCGCAATTACACCCTCCGAACCCGTTTTCGGACCCGTCGTCATCGATGGCAAGAACGCCGACCACAAGCAATGAAATCAACCCGAGAGATGCTAATGTTTTCGACATTGCATCCGTCGAATTGATTCTTCAATCCATGTATTGAAAAGGGTTTGAAAATTTGAATCTTTTTTGTTTGTTAATTGAACGAATTTGACATCACGAGCTACAGGTTTATAGGATCAACATAATCCTGTAGAAAAAGAAGAATTATAAATTGGTTATTAAAAAAATAGAAAGAAAGGGAATTCATATAATAATATGACAGTAAACCCCACTTGAATGACATTCATGCATGTTCCCAACTTGCTATTCAACAGATTGCAGAAACTTAAATCAATCAGAACCCTTTTCAGAAGAATCAGAAGATCAAATAAAAATTTAATCAGCAGGACACAAATCTAACCGTTCATCTACGTACTGTATCAGCTCAATGAAAATTGACTGTTCGTCGAGTATCAATTATCAAAACACAATAAAGAAGAAAGAGAGAAATCGGAATGAATAGTTTATAACCAAATTAAGTAAAAGGGTTACAGAAATTACTCGATTTCAGAAAACCCACATGAAATCAATCGAAAAATCAACAATGTATGACGGAGAAAACGAGCTTTACCTTTACCTTGCAAGAACACATCAAGGAACACCGCCATTAAAACCCGGATGTCTCTTTTCTTCAGATCAGATCTTTCGAGAATCAACAAACATACAGAAATCAAAATAAATCTCCCGAATAGAACACTTGTTATAATTCCTAAAGATATATATATTCAACACGAAGTCTTCATCTATCGCTCTCACTTCCACATCAATCAATTTCAGTGCAACATAAATACACAAGTTCTTTAAAAACACCCAACCGAGAAAAACTTGTGCGTGATCCAATCTTTTGAGGTAAATAAAGAAAACCACTTTGAATCTTTACACACACACACAAGTTGTGCAAAATTGGTATACGTATTATTTATAGGTAAGTTTCTCGGTTTTTTCACCTTCTTCAAGCTCCCCCCTATTTATTTCCTTTTGTGTACTGAAATTTCAAACCTGATGTGCCTTTGGGGGAAACGTGCTTTTCGAGAGAGAGAGAAAGAGAAAGAGCTGTTTTGGTTTAAGATTTGTCCGCGCCGTTGTTTGCCAAAGGAGAGAGAGAGACGGCCGAGCTGGAAAACCAAGGTTTTGATAAAAGCTTTTAAAGAAAATTTTAAAGATTTTACCTACCATTTTAGAAAATTGTATTTTATTAAAAATTAGACGAAAATTCGTGCAATTGAGTATAATTATTTTATATAGTTAGATTTTAGTAAGTAACTAAATTCGTGCAATTGAGTATAATTTTATTTTATATAGTTAGAAGTTAGATTTTAGTGATTAACTAAATTCGTGCAATTGAGTATAATTATTTTATATAGTTAGATTATAGTAATTAACTAAATTCGTGCAATTGAGTATAATTATTTTATATAGTTAGATTTTAGTAATTAACTAATTATAGCAATTAAAAATAGTTATGTTAGTCATATATTAGTCATTTTAATTATGAAATTTTGATTCTTATATCAAATTGATATCTAAAATTGTGATTATTTTCAATAATATTATAAAATAATGTTTTATTAAAATCATAAATTTTGATGGGTTTTTAGGGGGTGTTTGGGATATCTTTTTGAGAGGCAAAAGAACTTTTGGAAAAAAATACAGGACAAAAGATGTTTGGGAAAAGCTTCTTCAAAGCTTCTTTTGGATTTTTTAAAGAGGAAAAACTGACTTTTTGAAAAAGTCAGGGAAACGTGACTTTTTGGAACTTTTGCCAAAAGTTCTTTTGCCTTTGAAAAGATACCCCAAACACCCTCTTATTATGATTTGTACGTGAATAAACTAAATATGATTTAGTTTTAATATTCTAATTAATTAATTTAGAAATCATTTTCTTTTACTATTTTAGTGTCGATCATGTATTAACAATTATTGTAAGGTACTTTTAACAATTATTATTTTAATTAATTTAAAACCTCTTATTTAAAAAAATCAGTTATTATAAACAATAATTTTTGAAAATTTTTAGTTAATTTGATATATGACGGTTTAAGTATTATATTTAAACCAGTAACGTTTTTTGCTATTTAAAAAATGACTATTTTTTAAGTTTGTTAGATATTTTTATTTAGGTTTGTATTTCACATTATATTTAAGTTGATAAATTAAATATACTATATTCATAATTTAAACAACTTATTAATAGTTATATAATTTTTTATATTTAATAATATATTTAAGTTAATAAATTAAATATATTATATTATATGTTAAAAAGTACATGATAAAAGAAAAAATGATTTTTTTTAACAATACATACTATGTGAATTTCTATGTGTTTGCGGATTTGAAATTACAGTGTCAAAATTTTGACAAATACAAGTTGTTGGAAATGATTTTAAACCATTGATATTTCCCTATCTAATAAACCAAACCATTTGTACACGTCTCCTTTCAAAAATTCAGAATTCAACCAATGTTAAATTCCTGTTTTACCCATTAATGATATCACATAGCATTAGATTTGGAATACATATGCAATATAAATATCAATATGGAAATGGAAATATGGAAATATGGAAATTCTGAATTTTGAATATGGAATATATGGATGGATATCGAATGCAATAAGGATTCCATATAACGCTCTGTCTTTCTTTCAAATCTTGTTGCTCATAACAGCTGTACACATTAACTCATTTTCGTTACATGCCCGATTAAGAGCATTTTATTATGGTATCCATATCAATCATCTTATTATGCTCATAACAACTCTGTCTTTCTTTCAATTCCGATCATATTATGCTCAATACATACTTAAAACATACGATATGAATCATTCTTTACAACATCGTCTTTCCAGCAATTAAGCATCATCGATACTTCTGTTATCGGATATTCAATCAGCGACTTCAATCATTCGGTAAGTTTCTGCTTCTCAATGTGTATATTCACAGGGACCTGTTTTGTAATCAAAGTAATCGGATTTTCAATCACATGGTTATTATTTTGGTAATCAAAGTAATCATTAATATAAAAAACGATAACATAAACACAATGTTTTTTATCAAATCCTAAAAGAATTGTTATAATGGTATAAAAAGTACAAAAAAATTGTTTTAAGAACTTTAAAAAATTATCTTTTTCCTAAATCTTTTACCCGAGATCAGTTTCTGCTTCTCAATTCTTGATCCATGTTGTCCATCTTCTTAATCTCTTGTATAAATTTTTTTGAAATAAAGTCAACATCATAAATTTTTTTGATCACCTATATGAAAAAGACCGCATTTTCACTTAGTTGATCACCTGTATAAATTTTTTTGAAATAAAGTCAACATAATAATTCTAAAATGTCAAAATTTGTCAAATTCTTGATTCGTGTTGGCCATATTCTTAATCTCCAGTTCTTCATTATATTATTTAGTTTAGCATTCTGCTATGTATCTGTAACATCCCGGAATCGAAAGAGTAGAGTTGAAGGGTTAAAAGTGTAAGTTTTGGAGGGCGACTCGGCGAGTCACATGGATGGACTCGGCGAGTCAGGTCGCGATTTTGGTCGTGTGTCAAATGGCCTACTCGGCGAGTCCAAAGATGGACTCGGCGAGTAGGCGCTGGGCGAAGAAAAACCCTAAATCCGGGGAATGGGCCCTATATAAAGATCATTATGTTCCTCTACATCCTCCTTGATCCCCCCTTGAGTCCCAGAAACCCTAATTCCGTGGAGGAACCTCATTGTTGAGCAAATTGGAGCTTGGAGAGGTGTGGGTTGAAGAAATCTTGAAGGAGAAGAGGCTTGGATCAAAGGGCTTTGCTTGGATTCGATTTTCTTTGCTGTTGAGGCATTCTTTGGAGGTAATACTTTCGTTCTTGGGCTGTGTTTTCCTAGATTCTCATTTTGGGGTTGTGTGGGAAGCTTGGTTGTGTGACATCTTGAGTTTGAAGGATGGATCTGAGGTTGCAACCTCAGATCTGGAGTGGAGAAGATCTTAAGAGCATTAAAGCCCCTGTTCTTGTGTTGTTAATGGAGCTATCATGTCCCAAACCTTAGTTCTAAGGTGAATAAGGCCTAGATCTCTTTAGATTCACGTAAAGTTTGCCACTTTACGTGATGAATGGATTGTAGGAGGTTGGATCTATGTTTTGGATCAATTGCATGGCCTGGAGTGCTTCTGAATTGATTCAGATCGGGTTGACTCGGCGAGTCACATGGGTGGACTCGACGAGTTGCTTGAAGATGGCCTGGAACTCGGTGAGTTGGAAGAACAACTCGACGAGTAGGTTGAAGATAGCCTTAGACTCGGCGAGTCTGTTCTTGGACTCGGTGAGTCTTGTCGAAGAGTCCCAATATTTCCTGGTTGAGTCGAGAATCGGTGAGTCAAGGGATGACTCGGTGAGTTGGGTGCGAGTGGATTCAGAGCTGTTGGACTAGACGAGTCTTGGGGTGACTCGGCGAGTTGGGTCGTAGATTGAGGGAAGTTCTGAGCATAGGGACTCGACGAGTCATCGGGTTGACTCGGCGAGTAGGGTCAGTTAGGGGTTGACTTTGACCCAGTCTTTGACCAAGGGTTGACCAGTGGTTTCCAGGGGTATTTTGGTAATTGTTGATTATGGTTTCGAGTTCAGTGCATTGGTGGCTGTCCAGTGGTGGAGATCGTATCAGGGATCGGAGCAGCTTGGGTTATCTGTTCAGTCGGCAGTTTCAAGGTGAGTTATCCTCACTATATCTATAGGGTTTAAGGCACCAAGGCCGACCCTTTTATCGGATGGAAATCCGGGTAATTGTCTGTTGTATGATATTGCGGGATATGGGCCGAAAGGCATTACATGTTGCGGGCCGGAAGGCAATGCGATGTGGACCGGAAGGTCATGGCCTGGAAAGGCGTATGTAAATAATTATTATGTTGGCCGAGTCGTAGGGTGATGTTATGCTAGTGATCGGCTAGGCTGGTATCTTGGTTAGGGTAATGATATGTTATGTGATTTGTTGATCGATTTGCTAACTGTGAACTGCTATATGATTACATGTTATGTGTATGGTTGTCTGGTCTGGAGTGTAACTCGGTATGCACGGTTGTTCTATGTTCTGTCATGATATATATATATATATATATATATATATATATATATATATATATATATGCTTTTACGTTGCGGGCCGGAAGGCGATATGTTATGGGCCGGAAGGCATTACGCAATGGGCCGGAAGGCGATATGTTTGGACCGGAAGGTTGTGACCTGGAAGGGCGTATATGTGGTTGGTATTTTGGGGGTATCTCACTAAGCTTTCGGGCTTACAGTTGTGGTTTTTATGTTTTCAGGTTCTCAGGAGTCTGTGGCAAGGCAAAGGCATGATCGTACCGTTCCTCGCGTTGGTGTTTTATGAAATGGACCTGAGAAAAATACTCTATTAAATAATGTATTGAAAACCCTTTTTGTAACAACGTTATTAAAATGGATTGTTTTGAAAAGTTTTAATTGTTTCAAAATTTTGGTCGTTACAGTATCCTTTATTCAGTAATATTTTGTCTACGTTTTTTAAATTGTTTTTAAATTACCAATTAATGCATTGTACTTTTGGTTTTCTGAAAACCTACAAAGTTGCATATTTCTTGTCAATTGCATATTTCACACATCTTCATTAAAAGAAGAGTATAAATTACTTATAATATACTTATTATCTTACGTATTAGTTATACAATTTTAACGTGTGAGGGGTATATTGGTAAACTTATTTTTGGCTGAAAATGATTATTGAAGAGGCATGTGGAAAAACTGATTGTTCTAATTACCACTATACCCTCTGTAGCACTATTTTAAGTATTTTATTTTGAAATTACTTTTATCTCAAATAACCAAAGTAACATATTTTACACTAAGTAGGGACATTCTATAAAAAAAATCATGCACAGGGACCTGTTTTGTAATCTTTTTTCTGTACAGGGACCTGTTATGTATTATTTTTCTTCACAAATACCTTGTATGTAATATTTCCCTGGGTGAAATTACTTTGTTATCATAAAATCAAAATGTCTTCCATGGATATCTAAAACCCGAAAATATTTTATCCAATGCTGACTATCAAAGATAGGATCTACAACATTCTGGAGAGTATGTCACCCATTGAAATAATCTAAATTTTA